ATATGCAGACATTTTAACTTATACTCTAGATATTTTTCATTCCTCGCTCATTAGTTTTAAAAGATTTGTATTATTGTAAATTAACATTTTCTATTATAATAATATTTTCTATACTTTTATATTCAATTAACTTTAAGTAATTTGTGGACATTGTTTTGGGCTATAAAGCCTGTGTTTGTCCCTTCTCCATAAATAAATAAATAAATAAATAATTTTGGGCCAGTTTTCACCAAAGAATTTCACTTTTCTCCGAAATTCATCGGGAAGTCATAAATTTTTACAATAGGAGCATCAGCGCATCAAATTCCTTCAAAAATTCCTTCTTGAGTTTGCACTATTTTTTGTGTGCGTATGTTATCTTTAAAATCGACTAAAGACAAATATGTCAAAATTTGTTGAAGAATGTGCAAACCATTTTATTCACAATAGCAGTTGCTTGGATGCGAGTAGTTAGAGGGGTATAATTGAAGGAAAAAATATGTCAAAAGTCAAAATCATTATAAGTGTGTATTATCCTTATTTTTGAAACGGCTCATACGGTAACTGTATTGCGATTTAAAATATCCCTTAATTGATTAAGAGATTAAGGACCAAGGATATGTTTATTTGGGTCTGAGGTCCTAATGACAAGTAGCTCGTTAAAACATCTCATAGACGTAGTCAACATCAATAAACTTAAGTGTATTGAATTCTAAAAATAACGAGATATTTGTTTTTGATTAAAATCCTCGTAAGAAATATTTTACAAACTGAATAACACTAAAGCACAAGTGAATGTCGTAAACAGAAAATATTGCGGTTTAAATATATAACTTCTAAACTAATTGCGGCGTAAGCAATATATAGGATGTTCGCAGTATAAGTGCCGTAAAAAATACGGCTAATTAAATCCAAACGTAATTATTTATTTGTAGAATTTCAGTATTTTCACTCACAATGATCCTGAATAAATAAGTGATAGAAAAATTTAAACATTCAGGTTAACCCAGCAATTTTATATGGGAGATGGTACGGTATATATAATATTTTATGTCGCATTAGAACTCCTAATAATAATTATAAATGAAAATAGGAAAATGACTTTAGGTGGATTGATATATTGTTTTTGATGGAAACATCCCAGTACTAACAACTTATCAGCGTAGTTGTTGTCACTGTGTTGACTTAGAGGATCAATTTTACTGAAATATAGAGTTCACACCATAAATTTAAAATAAATATTAACCGGTGCATTGAATTAATATCAAACGGAAAGATAAATATTTGGGATTGTATAAGTATCTAAGTAAAAATTTATTTTGGATCAAAGTTCAACGCAGTGGATTTATTTTAACGTTATGTAATCAGTACCATCAAAATTTATGAGGCAGAATCTTTCAAATATACATATTTTTTCTGTACAGGACGATTTTTGTGTACACCAGAAATTTCGGTTAATTTTAGACCTCATTTTACAATCTAAGTGCTTTTAAAGTTTAACAACTTTTATTTTATATTTTGTGGCTCTATAGAGAAATCAAAACATCGTTAATTTTTTGCTTCATAGATTTTACTGAAGTATTTAACATATTCATAATGCGACTGAAAATAATTATTTTTATACTGTTTGAACTACATTTCCATGAACTATTTACATAAAAATACAAATTAAAATCAGATAGATCAAAACTTTACATTTTATTATATTGTGTGCAAATTCCTACAAATCTACATCCATCCCTAGTACATATTGATTAAATTTCATCGGACTTCAACATTCCAGAAGCGAAAATTTTGTTCGAACACTGACATAAATGAATAATTTTCCGGAGTGTGACGGACAATTAATTCATACCTAGCTACTAAGTAGCTTGGCTTATTTATCGACCAACTGATTCTACCTACAATTTTCTTAGTCTTTGAATTGATACATGAAAAGGGTACAATACTACAAGATGTAATGCAAAATTCCTTTTTAAGTTTACAAAATATACTCATTGTGGTACTCTAAAATTGTTTTGATCTTATTTATATATATTTTAACGAGTTTTTTGTATTTTCTTTGTTGTATTTTAATCCACTTTTATGCATTTTAAAGCATGGTCATTTTTGTGTACTCTTCTAAAACTATTTTACTTATTCCGAAGTTATTTTTGACTAAATTCTAAATTGTTATTTGAAGGTACTGATGTATTCCTAAGTTATCCTGAAGCCACGTATGAACTTTAGTACATTTGAAAGATATAAAATGATTTTAATTGTTTTTATTTTGTTTACCAAGAACTCATTACATGAAAATCAATTCTTTGAAAAAATAGACTATGTTTCGAATCTTCCATTATATGGCGGTAGGTATACTCTGGTTGTGACATATACCCGCAGTTATTATTTCGCACAATAGACCGATGATTCACTTAAAGCTATTTCATTTATTGTCACTTATAATAATATCATAAAATTAATATATAATGGCTGTTATCGATATAAGTGATCTGTTAGACAGGAAAATGTTAATCAATATGGTTATCTGATCTAAGACGGTTACAGTGAATTGTACATGCAGTGGTACTTTGAATTTAATGTGTCGGGGCATGGAGTTCCCCGACTTGATTAGCACTGACTGGTCGTGTTCATCACAGTGCCGTACGTCAATGGCAAAAGTAGGGATAGTATATAAAAAGAAAATTCTGTGATACCATCTAATCCCACAGTCTATTAACTGCTGATATTGCGGAAAATAACTACTGATGAAACAATTCCAAGTAAAATGTGGAAACGAAAAGATCTCTTTGTAGTACTCGTAGCTGCATAGGTGGAGGTGAATATAAAACTATCTTATGCGTCAATTTAGTCTTTAATTAAAAATATCATTCATCCAAAACTTTAGCACTGATATAATTTTTAACTGCTAACAAAATACTAATCTAGAGTATTTTACATGTTTAAGATTCGAGCAATCTTATCTTTAAGTGATGTTCCCTAAAAATAACACTTGAAATGTTGTTTAAAATTTCAAGGATTAACTAAAGATATACGGAACGTAATAGTGACAAACAGGACGCTGTTACATCCTGTTGAGGAGGACACTGGAAAAACCTTGGGTTACACCAAAGAAAAGCCTATTGTAATCAATGGAAAGGATTCAAGAACAGCTTTCTTAGGAAAGAATTTAAATTCAGACGGTAAACGCATGTCGCATATTACCAGAGTGTGCTGCAAAGCTAATTGATGAATAATAGCATTTTAATAACTTATGGACTATTGTTTTAAGAAATGTTTTATACATACCATACTGTAACCCTAATTATTTTAATATTCCTTATTGCAAGTCCCGTTTGTTGTCTGTTAATTGTCGAGGAAAGTTCAGCACCACAGATGTCCTCTCGAATAACCACATCTAACCTCGCTTGATTTTACATGCGAGAATAGAATTATTCTGATTTTACATGCGAAAACAGAATTATTCTGAAAAGTTTATTTCTCTTCTCTAAGGTGAAACTATTAAAATAATGTCACAGGCCGATAAAATTTGACTCATCTTTTAAACCAGAAACCAAACCATACACTGTAAAAATCGGTGTGAGTGAATCCATTGAGTGAAATTATTGAGTACATTTTCACTCAATATTGGACATTTTGATCATTTTACTCATTTGTGATTATATTTTATTATTTTATTATTTAAATAAACTAAAACTGAGCACTTTCAGTCAAATATAGGGACTCCTTAAATAAATTCTTCACGTAAACTCGTATTTGGTGCACTTGTACCTCAATCAGAGTAAATGCCCTCATTAGTGAGTGAGTTTAAATATATATTAATTTCGACTAATTTGAATGGCATGGCGCCGTAAAGATGGCACCACTTACATATTGTTTCTGTAATCTCGACCACAGTTGAGAGGGGTCCCTTAGATGCTACAGAGTACAGAAAAGCGTCGCCAGGAGAACAGGCCTTAGCCGGCGGCGGCGAGTCTCAGCCAGGACAGGAGGAGACCCTACGAAATGAATTAATTTAAACACTGTATATATTAATTAATCATTTATGAGTGATTTATTTTTGCACTCAATATTTAGTTAATTAAAAACTAAGTCTGAGTAAAAAAATGACTCAATAATAGTTAAATTTAAATCATTTTAGAGATTTATATACTCAGAATAGAGTCAAAAGTCGCTCAATTGATAGTTAGCAGTAACTCGGATTTGAGTAAAACTCACTCATTCCTGATGCAATAGTTTCACTCAGTTGTACTCATACTAATAGAGTGAAAATTTCTCTCAATCGGGTGTCGACAGAAATTGATACATTACTTAGTGAAATTGAGTGAAATTTGAGTGAATTTTTTTTACCGTGTAGGTTGGTTCCCGAAGGTTTTCGTCATGCCGAATCCGAATGCAATCTCAGAATTGCTTCATCACATCAGGTTTTAGAGAAATCCTAATCTAAAATTGCGTAAAACGCGGTTTTTCGCTATATTTGAGGTTATGTTGTATCGCGGGGTAATTTTTCTCCACAAACTCGTTATGGTAAATGAAAGTACTACTCGGAAATTGAGTTAACGTAAAATTTTCCGCTCTCTCCATTTCCGGGGTAAAAGTTATGGGGTCCCATTTCTCGTGACCTTGATATGACCTTGAAAGTCATGGTTCAGGTCAAATTCAAGGTCACCATCGGATAGCCAGGGAAAAATCCTAAACTCCTAGTGCTTTACTTTTACCCTACCTAGATATCATGCCATTCCGGTGCTTTTGGACCACCCTGTATATTTTTATTACAGTATTAATGCAGTTTAGGCTTCATTATGAAAATTATATTATAATAAAGTGAAACCTACCTAATACTCATAAAAGCGAAAGATATTCTCCATTTTGTATTATTAAATACAAGTCAGTGGTTTGTGCCCTTTAGAAACAACAGCGAAAATAATTATTATTTAAATATACAAATGAAATGTATTCTTTAAGAACGATTGCTTGCAGCTTTATTGAAAAAAGATATTGAAACGTGTTTTTTGTTTCAGCTAGTCTCTTATCAAGTGTTGAAAAGGTTCTTATGCTGTCTGTGGTTGAGTGCAGTGTTCCTCACATATCTCCCTTTATTTGGATTCGGTCTGTACTATGATCAGGATGCGGAACAAGGAAAAGGAAAGTGTATCCGGTTTAGATACGCAGACGATCTCAAAGACAAAATATATGCGTACCTATTTTTCACTTTCGGTAAGTAAAAATGTAAAAATTAAAATCGTGCAATACAGCGCATAATGTATTCGAAACAGTAGTTAAATTGAGGTTCTATCTTAAAACTATGCGTTCCACATTTTTATCGTTTCGATAAAATAATCGAATCCATACTGTGTGAATGGGCTTTTACAGTGTGCTAAAAAATAGAACAAATGTAATTTTCATCTAAATATATAGGGTGAGCCATATCATCATAAGATATATTAATGAAAATCCAATTATTTTATCACCGAGTAGAAAATCGCTACAAAAATAACAAAATCCACGTCCTCAGTATATCTTTAGAAAAATTACGTGTTATTAGAATATATTTCATATTTTAAATGACTATCAATAAATATATTAAATATTGGTGTACCTACCTATGGAAACAGAGGACAAAATATAACAAATATTTATTTAGAAATATGTAATCTGTATTTAAATAATAAAAATTCGGGTCAGATAATGTGTTTAAAATGATAAGGAACTACAATAGAATGGAAATTATCGGAAAAGTACAAAGAATTTTCTTTTTGATTGTTACATTATTTGTGTTTTTAAGATATTCAAGGTCAATTTATTTCATCGTGATGTGTATTTGTAAGATCACAAGAAGGAAAGATGGTTTTTGTTTATTTATTAATCTTAAAGATATATCTCTTAACAAATATATCAAATTTTAACTTATTTCAGAGAAATTATTTCGTATTCTTACTCTAATAGTTGTAATATCACTTAGGTCAAAGATTAATACGAAATTCAGCTATGATGACTTAGCTAAACCATCTCTGCAAATTAAGGAATACTTTCCTTTTAAAAATGGAGTTGAATATTAACAGATACATTTAAATATTCTATACAAATCTTTTAGAGAAAAAGAGATTTTAGAACTGAAAATATATTAAAGAGCTTTTAATTTTCTTTGAATTTATTTAATTTGCTTTATTTTATTGTACGTAAGATAGGTTTGTATTACTTTTGTTGTTTTTTTGTAGGGTCGACGCTGTGTTTGTGTATTGCCCTGTGCAATTCATCGGTGGTTTGGGAACTTTCCAGGATCAGGTCCCAAGGTAAAGTCCTTGTTAGGAGAGTGAGTAGGTCCATTATTAGTAACCGCGTGGGATGCACTCGCTATCAAACACCAGAAGAGGTCGCTTTTGCGAAATTAATGGCTATCGTTTGTGTCATATTTATTGTCTGCTGGGGACCTCAAGTAGTAAGTATTTAATTGTTTATCGATATTAATTTGTTTTTATGCGGATAACTGTGAGCGTACACTGTTTCATTTAAAACAAGTTTTTCAGCAAATGTCGGATTGAATTTGTAAATTTGGCAACACTGCCGAACCATTATCTTTTTTCTTGTTGTCATTAGTAGTAAACAAATTTATTTCTTCTTAGTTGAAAAATGCGTGCTTGTGGACGAATGTGGTAAAAAGTTCATATTTTGAAATTGAAACAGCATTGCCAAATGTATATCTTTTAAGTACATATAAAGAAATATTCCGCGCATGATAAAATGGTTAATTATATGTTTCTTATACGTTTTGTTTCAATATTATAGTCATGTACATATAAATAAAAAGTATTTGCCTCTGTAAGGTCTAAAATAGAAAAACTATGCAGAGCATTTAGGATCTTACGTTTCTCCAATTGTTGGCGTTGTGGTTTTTCTGTGACAATGAAAATTATTTAGTGTCAATTATGGTAAAAACTATATTACTTGATAATATTACATTTTGACAGAAGGCCGTCCAAAAAATGTATTACCTACACAATAATAATACGCCCTACCCATCGCCACACAAATAATTGATATCTACATTGGCCTTTGTAATTACGGATTATCTTTCTTGAATAAATTTGGTACATTTATCATTCTTGGAATGTCAAGACTGTAGATATAAAATCTTTTACTAAAGTGATAATACTTAAAAAGCGACTAATGTATTACTAACTATAACAAATAAATTAAATAAACATTAGTAATTGCGTTTTGATTGTCTAAATTTCGAACGAATCGAACTAATACACTTATAAACTTATTATTTGAATAATTTGAGGAGACTAAGTGATTATGACTAGGGCAATTCGTTTTCAATTGAAATATTTTTATATTAAAATGTAATTAGTAAATTACAAACTGTACCAAATAAGTGTTATACGTCGTTAAAATACTTATAGACTATTGATTATATCCAAAAAAAAAACAGGGTTACAAGGAACTATGACGTTCAAGCAATTTTATTACATGAATCGTTCATAGGGTCATTTTAGATGAAAAAACCGCGGAATGCTATTAAATTATAGGGTGGAAATTGGAGATAAGGGTGAAAATGCACCCCTTTCAGTTTTTTAATTGTAGCTCGAAAACGAAGCAAAATTTCACCATAGTTGATAGGAAAAATTATTTAGAGAATTGAATTTCTCATCGAAAAGGCTTATTTAAAAAATTTAAAAAAAAAAAATTATGCAAAAAATCGTTAATAAACAATTTTAAAGAAAGCAAAAAATAAGATTTTTAATTTTTTTTTACTTTTTTTATTCTAATTTTTTTTTTAGTAGAAGTAGGCAAAGAAAATTGCTGTACAAAAAAACTAGATGAAATTCCCTTCAAAATGATGCGTTTTCAAAAGTTTTTGGACTAATATTGACCGAGTTATAATCGGTCAAACTTAAATATTTTTTAGATTTTCGTCGTTTTTAACATGATGATTATAATTTTTATTATTTTTACAACAAATTGGTTCTTTACTTAATAAAAAATTATTTCAAGTTTTATTTGTTAATAAAGATTTTCACAACTTAGGGTCAAAAAAGTAAATAAAATCAAAAAATGTTATTTTTTGCTTTTTTAAAATGGTTTATTAACGATTTTTTGCATAAAATTTTTCTTTTTTAAATTCAATGGAAAATTCAATTCTCTAATAGCCTAATATTTGGAAAATAAATTTAGATTATTTTGCCCATAAAATTTCGGAATTTTATTTTCTCGCTTTGATGAAAATTCGAAAGTGACATAAGGTTATGTTTCAATGTATCATGATAGTAATATATATTTTTTCATTTCAGATAGCTGTTCCCATCGCCCAATTTCTTCCCGAGTCTAAATCGTCGAGGGCGTTCACAAAAATCGCGGACATTCTACTGTGTGTGTACTTCACTCTAGACCCATTTGTTTATGTACTGCAGAACTATATGGAAGGGAGATTTATTTTGCCGTGCTGTTTTTTCAAACGGTCTATGAATAGTCTCCCCACCACCACCACGACTACCCTGGGAACTCCTACTTCCGTACTTTTAAATCCTCCTTCGTTTACAATCCCGGCGAATATGTAAATTTTAACCTTTCTTATTACCTTTGACTTATAGAGCGAGCCAAAAAATGCTCCCCGAAAAAAACTGAACTCGTTCCGCAGGATTTGCAACGAGAACGAGGCTAATTTCGGCTTACGCTCGGCTTCTAATTTTCTTTTGCCGGCCTTTGACTCTTATTACTGTCCAAGTGACTGATTAGTGTCTTAAGATATACCTGCACAATTATTTGCGTTTAACTAACAAGCTGTTTAGATCTAATCTAATTTTAATGTAGAAGACTTAATTTGTTAAATATATAAATTGTAACTCTTCTGATTAAAACAAGCTCTTATTAAACGTTTGTAATATTTAAAGAATTGTTCAAATTTTACTTGGGTTTCAAATTTTTTCAACAAACCTTCGATTTGTTATCCTGGATATCATTATTGGTTTAAAATGTATGTTGGAAATGAACTCGCAATATATAAAGAAAAATTGAGTGATGCATCTTTTACTTGACTTTTCATTTTTTTCAACAAACCTTCGATTTAGTTCTGGATGGCAACACCACTTTTATTTAAATTTAACTTTCTCACAATAAAAAAAATTAATTTGAATATCAATCTACCGCGTTGATTTCCTCGTTACTCTATTTGTCTTCTTTGTTTTGAAGTACATAACCCAAATTTATGGAAAATCGATGGAAAATCAAGATAGGCCGATATTGCTTGTTTGCTCAAAATTTATCTGTTTCACTGCTCGCCTTCATTACCAATCTTATATACAAGGCCCACCCGTATGTTTTTGGACAATATATCAAAATTTACTAATTTGTATCACATAATACAAGATTCCGGAATCTAAGAGTTGGTAAAATTTAAAAATAATACCCCAAAAGTATTGTTTGTATTTAAAATATAATTAGATGGTGTGATTTTTTTATTTTCTGTATGTCTTCATGAATGGAAATGGTATGTGTTATGTAGTATTTATTTTTGTACCTAATTTTTCAACGAACGTTTAAAAAAATTAAGCCAGAGCTTAAATTTTTTAAGTAAATGAGATTTGAAGTAACTCATGCTCGTGGGCGTAGTTAGAAAATAATTTCAACTTTCAATAACACTACGACTAAAATTAACAATTTTCTGATAGTGCCCATTAAGTATCGATTAACTAAACTGCCATATTATAATCTATGGTTTATATAAATTTATATAAACATCTATTTTTCTAAAAGCAAAGATATCTAGATACGTACTATTTATTTTCTTTCCGTAGATATATCTACTGCATATCACTGACTTTGACATAATGACGTATCCAATCATATTAAAATATTATATACATATGGAAAACTATGATTACTAATAAGTAGTGTCATTGTACTAAAAAAATATTGTTCTCGTTACTAGTTATATTTCAATTGTTATATAAATTTTTATTATAACATTTTGTACTTTTTATTTTACTATGTAAAAATTCATCTGTTATATCTTTATTTTTATGTTTTATGTACATATTTATGTTTTTACTTATATTTTATGTTTTTACTTTATACTCATGTCGTTTGAATGAACCATATTTTTCACGTTTTCATATATTTTCACTCTGTTTGATTCTAGACCATTTTTGGAGTATATGTGTTTAACATTATAGCTGTGTCCTGCAGCTTTTTATATTATAGAATTAACTATTTTTTATATCCAACCCCAAAAACTTACTTTAAGTTTTCGCCCTGTATGTACTACGCATTCTCTTGTGTTACACATAACAGACTGATATTATTTTGTGATAATTCTGTTGTACACAAATATGCGTATTTTTTAAATAAAATACTGTACCAGCTTTCCACAAGTTTTATTTACCGCTGCACAATCTATGCAGTCCATAAACAGTCTTAAATAAAACGCACAAGACGATTCAGTTAACGGTCTATACGCAGGCGCTTACGGTCTTGGTACAGTCTGTGTAAGAGTCACTACTGAAGTTTTATAAATTGAATTTAACTATTGAAATTTTGCTGAGATTAGTTGGTTTGGTTTACATTTTCCGTAAATGAAAAATGTATGCAGCTGTTTATGAATTATATAATTTGCGGTTCCAGCACAGTCTATGCACAGTCGACACACTGTTTTAAATTAAAACAAAATGTTTCAGTTAACGAATTTAGCGCAGTTGAACTACGGTCTATACGCAGTCGATGACGGTTTCAGCACATTCACACTAGTCACCAATGCGGTTTTATAAATTCACAATTGAAATATTGCACAGAAATTAGTTCGCTTAAAATCCATGATAGAATAAACCAAACTAAGTGTTTCGGGAATGAAAAACATGTATAGCTGCTTAAGGATGATAAAAAATATTGCACAGTGAAACTACGTTCTATACGACGTTGACGATTTCAGCACAGTCTGTCCGAAATTTTATATATTGAATCTGTTTGAATCTCATTGTCTGTGTACGAATTACTACTGGAGTTTTATAAATTGGATTTCACAATTGAAATTTTACAAAAATATCAGTTTTTTTTAAATCCTTGAAAGATGTACGTAAATTTACTTCTTCCGCATGCTTATGGATGACAAAGAAAATATTGCGGTTACAGCACAGTGTATGCACAGTCGCCACATTGTCTTAAACGTACAACGATTCATTTAACGGACTTGGTGCAGTGAAACTACGGTCTATGCGCAGTCGACAAAGAATCTTAAACTACGCGCAAATAATGGTACATTTCACGGACTTGACACAGTGAAACTATGCGCAGTCGATTACAGTCTCAGCACACTGTGTACGAATTGCTACTGAAGTTTTATAAATTGGATTTCACAATTGAAATTTTGCAAAGATATTAGTTTTTTTAAAGTCCTTGAAAGATACACGTAAATTTACTTCTTTCGCGTGCTTATGGATAATAAAGAAAATATTGCGGTTAGAGCACAGTGTATGCACAGTCGCCACAATGTCTTAAATTAGACGTACAATGATTCGTTTAACGGACTTAGTACAGTAAAACTACGGTCTATGCGCAGTCAATTACAGTCTCAAGTTACAAGTTTTATAAACTGAAATTTGCAACTGATTGATATAAATATACATGTGTTTCATAAATGAAAAATATATTTAGCTCTTAAAACGGTAAATAGTATTGTAATTTAAGCCACATGTCTAATCTTGTCAATTGTCCCATGACATACGGATTACTGTGCACCGTTTTTTATTATGAGATCACATTCGTGATCAGACTGTGCTAATGAGCACAGTCACAGGTCATGCCGTATTGTCTATGATGAATATGTGAAGTTTGATCCGCCTGGCCATAGCGTGTTGGACTGGTATTGAACAAGTCTCACATTACGAGCTACCAATAACGCTATATCGTTAAAATTCGCGTATAATAAAATTATACGGTGAAAATAAATATTTATTTGAGTATCCGGTGTTAGGTAAATTTTGAATTCGTGCAACATTGTTAAAGGTCTTAGGTGTAAGTTGGTATAGATACTGTCTTTTCGTGTTTGAAGTTTACCATGCGTGTTCACTGATTTTGCTCCTTCTTTATCAAACGAACATCTAAAAATTCTGGAGTTTGCATGCCAGGCTATAACTTCACCGTCTTGATTTTCTAACGCTCTCTTTCCGCAGTTTAGGGGCGAGAAGGTGGACAATTCCCACGTATATGAATCGAGATAAGTTGATCTCAATTTTGCTGACAGACATTCCATAATGAACACACTCGAGTTTTCAAAATTAACAAAATTAAACGTGACCTTTTTTACATCATTGTACACACACGTTTTTGAAACGTTTTTAACGTTGTATACATTTGTTGCATCGTTTATTACTGTGAAAATAGTGCATTGTAGCGTGCATTACAACTTATGCTGTTGTAAAAAACGTATATTGCAACGTATGTCGTTACACGTACGTTGTAGAAAACATACATTTAACTCTCTACTACTCTGACCTGCTTTTTATTTGCTATTGTTTTACCAGATAACATATCAAGACATTTTTTACATCAGAAACACTTTTTTACGTTTTTAATGTACTTGTAATTTACGTACATTGTAAGATTGGTTATTGTAAAAAAAATGTTCATTGGCACGTGGGCTTTTGTAAAAACGTACATTGTAACGTACATTGTTGTAAAAAAATGGCAAATGGTACCTTGCTTCAACGTTCTTTTAAAAACGTTTATTGTAACACACGTCGTTGTAAACATTTTACTTTGCATTGTTTTCCCTTAAATTCACAAAGTTAAGCTTGATTCAATGTTTCAACGTTTGTTTTAACTCACAGTCAAAATGTTCATTGTATGTTTTATAAAAATTTTCACAGAGACACATTTGTCGCGTTGGAAAGTTTCATTCATTTGCTGAATGATGTTAATACAAAATTAACTATTGCACCTACAGGATAACAAAACGTTATATTTTTTACATCATTGTACACACGTTTTTGAAACGTTTTAATGTTGTATACAGGTACCTTTATTTGCAACGTTTATTATTGTGAGAAAAATGCATTATAGCGTATGTGAAAGGGGTCATCCATAAATTACGTAAGGGTTCAATGGGGAGGAGGGGGCTCAATATTTTCTTATCATTCCTTACTTGGGGGGGGAGGAGGGGTAATGAAATTCTTACGTAATAAAATAATATACATTAATTTTTCTTTTTTTCTTAGTATATATGTATTTATAATATAACAAATATATTAATAATGTTATAATTCGTAGTTGAAAACTTTTTTTATAATAAAAAAAATAATTGAATTATGTAATGTATTACGTAAGGTGCGGGAGGGGGAGGGGGGTTATGAAAAATCTTACGGTTTCTTTACATGGGGGGAGGGGGGAGTTGAAAATGTGAAAAAATACTCTTACGTAATTTATGGATGACCCCAAACGCACATTGCAACTTACGTTGTTGTAAAACAACGTACATTGCAACGTATGTCAATGTAGAAATCGTACGTTCTAATTACTCTGCACTGTTTTCTTCATGTTAAATTCTTCCAAATTCCATTTCCTTATTGCTCTGTTGATAATAAAAAAATTTGCACTTGGGCTTTTGTAGAAACGTGCATTCTAACGTACCTTACTTCAACGTTCTTTTAAAAACGTCGTTTGTAGGTACCACACGTCGTTGTAAAAACGTACGTCCTAACGTACCTTGTTTACTTTGCACCGTTTTCCCCCAGAGTCAATCTTTTATCAGTATATTCAACTTTTTGATAATAAGAAATATCAAGGTTGAGATTTATCGGTTATGGTGGTTTCTAGCTAACATTATTCCGTATGAGTAATTATTAGCTGCTTATCCAAATTATGCAAATCCAGGAACACGGTCAATATACCAAATAAGGGTCGTAGGAAGTTTCCGATCAATCTCTCACCTACTGTGTTAGTAGATACAAGTACACCATTAGCCTAGTTACCTTAAACAAAGCGAAGCAACGAATGGTTGTAAGAAGGGTACACACACACTCTGAAATCTTGTTGAATTTTGTGATGAAAAATTCATGTAATAAAATAAATAGTTTTAGACGGTAGTTTATATTTCCCGATTTTTAAGAAAATCTATTCCGCGTAATTTGCGCACAGTCTCAGCTACAGACTATTCGTACTTTTGAGACATCCTTTATATTTATAATTTTTCCTCAGTTTTTATTTTAGGATATTTCTTTTAAGAGTTGTCGTGATTACATTTTTTTCTAGAACTGCTGTATAAATAAATAGTAAGACAAAGAATGAAAAAATTACCGAAAACGTACATTTATACCGAAAATGAGCTTTTGTATACGGTTCGTAGAACTTCGCATGATTATTACATATATTCTAACTTTTTCATAAAGCCAGAAATAATTAAATTCAAATTTGAGGGCAAACAGTCCTTTAATTGCGCTATATATCGCCTTAGCCATTGTGAAAGTTCGCATGTTTCCCGACAAATTTATATGTTATAAGCACAATACGAGCTACAACTTGTACAATATTTTTCTAAACTCATTAATTCTGATTAAATCTAAGGGAAAGGTTAAAGGTTGCCAATATCTATACTCTTATAAAAAATATATATTTAGAACAATTATAATACAGATTGAATCGGTGCGATAACACCAACAAGCGTGGTATATGACAGTAATTGCCACTAACATGTAACCAAAGTTGCAGAATAGAATTATTATATTACTATGTATTATACATATAACATATACATTACTGTTAATAAATCTCAAATTTGTCTGCTGAATGAGAATTGTCATCATTCATATTTAAACTTTAATTTATTTTTAGTAAGGCGGTAAGGTAAGAGGTACGGAGGTAAGTCAAGGTAAGGTAAGGTCAGGTAAGGTAACGTAACGTAAGGTAGGTATAGTAAAGTATGGTAAGGTAAGG